GAAAGAATGGGTACAATGCCCAACAACAAATGTTGTCCCAAACCAACAGCGGCCGCTGTTGGGCAGGCGGCCTCCCGTCTCGAATGGACACAAGCCGCGGCGGCGTGGACAGCGACTCCTGTTCAAAATGAACAAGATCCGCTGTTGGGCATAGTACCCATTCTTTCAGTACCCATGTCGGGCGTCCAGGAACGCCGCAGGGGCCCGGCCGGCGCCCTGCCAGCGGAGGCGGGGCCACGCCTGGCCATGGCGCGCGGCTGCGGCGGGCTGGCGCGGGCCGGCGCGGGGCGGTGCGGCGCGGGCACGCAGCTCGGGCGGAGGCGGGCGGACGGGCGGGGCCCATGCCCAGACATGCTTGCGTCGTGAACAAAATCAGGTCGGCTCTCTTTTTGGCCGCTTTCGACCTCGCTGGGCCCTCACCAGGCCCCGGGACCGTCAAGGAGCGACTAAGGATGAAGAGCCGGTCCTGGGGAAAGGGTCGAGACTTCGGGGGACCGAGTATTGAACGAATCAGGACGTCGCATGTCTGGGGATGTCCAAAGCGTCTTATCCGTTCACATCGCATTCACCTCGTTGCGCATTGTATGTATGTCTGTCTGTCTGTCTGTCTGTATGTATGCACGTATGTATGTATGCATGCATGTATGTATGTATGTATGCATGTATGTATGTATGTATGTATGTATGTATGTATGTATGTATGTATGTATGTATGTATGTACGTATGCATGTACGTATGCATGTACGTATGTATGTATATGTGCATGCATACATGTATGTATATATATATATATATATATATATATATATATGTATGCATGCATGTATGCATGTATGCGTGTATGTGTGTATGTAGATATGTATGTGTGCATGTTCATATATATATATATTCATAGTTATGTCTTTACGTGTGCATGTATGCATGTATGTATACATGCACATGTGCACGCACATCTGTATATGTTCACCTGTTGCTTTTCCTATATAGGTATGTAAGCATCTATACATATATGCCTGTGCCTGTATACGTTGCACACCAACAGACGCACACGAAACGCACCCGCAACACACCCCAGGAGTTGGGCCGCGGCAACAAAAAAGGATGGAGCATCCCAGGACCAAATTCTCACTGGCGCTCCGGGGCATTCGTTTCCTCGATTTCGGCATCCACGGGCCGTTTTGGGGCCCTGATGCCCTCAAACATGCATGCGGGACGGAGAACCCTCCCACCCCTGGGGAACGGGTCGAAACCTCTGGGCCCCGCGGGCTGAACAAATAAAACATTGTCTGAGCTCTACTGTTCAGTCGGGCGCGTCCCTCTACAGGAGGAAAATCCAAAATACAAAAAAAATAGCCGGGGGACGATTTTTGGATCATTTCGTGACCATTTTGGAATATTTTTTGGGTATCTTTAATTTTTCGTCCAAACGCCGCCTGTAGGGGGACATGCCCGACCTGACTCTACTGGTGGCGTCGCAGAACATGTCTCGGCTGCACGTAAGAGTGACCCTGGGCAAGAGTGACCTTTGGTGCGCGGCTATTTGGGGGGCGCGAGGAGGCCAAACACAAGCGCGCAGGACGCTACTATCGCAACGAGCGCGGCGATCGGGGGACCCCAATGAGCGCGCACCAAAGGTCACTCCGGCGAAGGGTCACTCTTACGTGTAGTCGAATGTCACGCCTCTGGCACTTTCCGGCCTCTGCCAGCCGGTCCGCGGCCGCGGGAGACTTCGCCAACACACTGGCGGAGGCAGGAGGGGTGGACGGTCAGGGGCGGGCGCAGTGCACTTTTTTTGCCGCCGCGGCGCGGCAGAGGCAACCCGCTCGCGCGAGTAGCGACTCCGGGCGACGGAGTCGCCAATTGGGCATGCAACGGGCGAAGTCTTTTTTTTGGGGGGGGAGGGCGGGTCTTACACGCATCCGCCATGAATAGAAGAAGAGACAACTACGTAACCATAAACTTTTGGCGCTCCGCGCTGACTTTTTTGGGATCCGCGCTGGGCCCCCCTCCCTGACGCGCGGAGCGCGCCAGGGGCGGCGCCGGAGGCGCCGCATGGGGGGCCCAGCCCGGATCCAAGATATCTACTTTTTTTGTTTGCGGCCCGCAAGGAGAAGTCCAGAGGGAGGTACGACCGAGGCTGGGGCACAGCGACAGGTAATTGGCGCGAGAACGTCAAGATATCTACGCGGAGCGCCACAAGTTTATGCTCATGTGTTTTTGTTCTTCTTCTAGACCTGTGGGCACCCACGGGGCCTGCATCCTGATTGCGCATCCTTGACAGCAGTCTTGCCTGCACTCGGGAGGAGGAGGATGAGGAGGAAGGAGGAAGGAGGAAGGAGGAAGGAGGAAGGAGGAAGGAGGAAGG